TGGAAATGTGGAGTTTTATTCCGCCACTACCAAGGAAACTCCTGCCGAATTCGATTCTGTATTTTCTCATAAGTTACTCACTTTATGCAACAAGAGGAAGCAGCTGATGAGCACTCTCGAATTTTATGCATCCCTTAAATTCTGTTGTTTATACAGTCTCCAAAATGACACTAATGCTTATCGATGCCCAACACGCCCACACATAGCGAAGATTACACCAGATTGTACGTTCAGGCAAGTCGGCGCAACAAAACCCCCTAAAAAGTGAACGGACCTAAGAAGGCGAAAGAAATAAATCCACGGATAGTGCTGCGAACTATAAACACCAAAAATATGTTTATGGCGGTCGGCGATTTTTTTGTCGTTTCGTAATTTCTACAATGAAAAATACCCTTCGTTATGTGCTGCTGCCTTTCCGTGTGTTTGCTGCACATAAAGAATTGCCGCTAGGCAGTGTATACGTGATTTCGACTGTGTAGCTCGAGAAAGTCTCACACAGAAGGTTTGCAAACTACGCATTGATTTGCAAAGGTCTTCTGCACACCATGTCCAGACAGAATACCAGCGTTTTTAGAAATGCCTGCTAGTCTTCTGGGATATTTGACATTTGCGGAAGATGAACTAAGCAGCACTGTGGAGTTATCCAATTGGGGTCTGTGTGAGGGGAGTTTGGACAGTCGTATGGACAGGAACTAATTTTTTTGGAAAAAGGAAACAGAACGAGGGAGAAAATGGATTAAGTTCGGTACAGGAGATGAGGCAATTCGTGCAAAGTCATGATCGAAATTGGACTTGGCAGTTTAGCAGACATTTATTCCCGTTGTTTTGATCTAATTGGTGGATTTGATCCTGAGAAAGGCTTTTAGTAAGGAAAACTGCCAGAGGTTGCCTGATACCGGACAAACTTCCTACGACAGAACCAAACCTTTTTATTCTGTGCTGTGCCATGGAAGAACACAAATATAAGCAAGAGAAATTTAAAATATATCCTTTCCAGGAACGGAAAATCTAGTCTAAAGTGGATGAAAATCAGGCGAGACCACGTTTAAGGAATCGTATGGTTTTTCAGAAATAAGAAATAATTACAGTTTAAAAATATTATTTGTTGTCAATGTCAGAAGCCTTTATGTCCCAAAACGCAGCATTGAAAATTTGGAACGATAACCAAAAATGCTTATATCCTGTTGCGTACATGAAGATAAAGAACAATCTTACTAAACCTAAAACATGTGGCAAGATACTTTTTGTGCATTATAGATTCCGCTTATGCGTAATTTAGAAACGGGGCAGATGGACGATTAATAATTTTCACAAAATCTTACTACATATTCGACCTGTTTTCTTTGCATTTGCAATCTTAGAAGGGGGCCAAAAAGTGATTGAATATGGTGAAAAATATTCCAAAGTGGCGTCTTTCATTACCAGGAAAAATGAATTTTGGTGTTTTGCACTAAATTTTCGTACATACGTTAGTGTCAGTTTGCGAGTGACTATCAATCTTCCCCAAAGCTCTGTATTTTGCGTGAAGTTAAGTCCACACTGTATGTCGGATCTGACGAACAAAGAGGTTGAGATCACATTTTCAAGACTCCTTACTGCTTGGAGGAAATCCATGATTACAGGAATTTCGAATTGTCTGAAATCCTTAAATGGCCATTTACGCTGTAGAGTAGTAGTAGTTTGAATAGTGCCTAAAATAAGTACGCATGAACTCCGAGATAGGGTGCCGAATGTGACATAATCAAACAGCATCAAAAATGAACTACCGGAAGGAAAGACTTGGTCTATTCAAAACGAGCAGTTATTCGACTTCCTACTGTCGATGAACTTTAAACGGGCTGTGAGCGAACTGGGGGAAACCAGTCACCTCGAGTGCCACCGACGAACATCCTGCACTAACACAAGGTGTGAGTATTGACATTCTTCGTCTCTGTGTATGAGGCATAAACAAGGTAAGCAGAGGTTTGCGACACATATTACGGCGCCAGTACGTAAAAAGCCTGGACAGGCGACTTGATACGTTAAGGAGGGACGAGGAGAGAGTTAGGTTTAGCCAGTGCGGATTTAGAGTATCCCTTCCTCACAAAAATAGGCAAGGCACACTTTTAAAGGCAACAATCGTGGGAGGAAAACGTTGTTGACGGACAGAACAACTCTTATCCTTCAGACTGACTGTTAGGCCGCAATGCCTCCTTCTTACTATTGGCTTCGATGCCAATGAGGAATGAGGGACCTGCATATGCGGGACACGAAGGCCGGATCGATGTTCCCTCCAGGTTAGCCATTGCACCTACGTCGACATCCCGTCTTCCTTGCTTTATATTGCCACTAGGACAAAGTGGGTGCGGAAAGAGGGAGTCGAGTAGATGCCCCGAAAATCTCCCTTGCTGGAAAAACAATCAACGCGCAAGTGACGACTGGGCCAGAGGAACGGTGGTGATCTTCGATTCTGGAAATCACTCCCAGATATCGTGTGATGTCACTCGAAAAGTAGTATGCCCGACCTTCGGAAAACGTGTAACTCAAGTTCTAGAAATAATCCATTCATTGGTGAGCAGGGACGATGTCAACCACACTGATCAAAAAGACCAGAAAGGAGCAGAAATGTCTTGTGTACCGGCTATATTCGATAATTGATTTCATGTCATGAGAGTCCGTAGCCTCCCTCTGCAATCAGGATAGATTGATGAAGGTAACTTTCGCGAATCTTCTTCTAACCTTAAAGTCTTATTAGCCTCCAAAAAAGTATTGAAAGGCTTGCATTACGCCTGAATACTGCAAGTTAGACTTGACAAAGCCATTCCTGGGCTCGCTTGTCTTCGTTTCGGTGGTTAGCATGATCCACGTCCGGGGAACGATCAGCTAGGCGGTGGCCTGTTGTCGGCGGTGGGGGAGAGAGTGAGGTCGACCCTCAGTACATTCCTTTTTTCACTAAAACAATATGATGTGCTTGAAGCTATCACCGTGCTCTAAAA